TCCCCATGCGAGTTTGCGCCAATAGAATTTCCATAGTACTATTTATCCTGAGCGAAAGATTACCTTACTCTTGTCTCTTAGCAGCAAGACAAATAAACCGTATTTTCAAGTACAGTCATGCAACCGAGGTTGAGCCATTATAATAGATAAAAATTGCTGTTCGTACCATCTAGACTGAAGGCACTCTAGGTGTAAACGGCATCGTGCACAGGCTATACGGCCGAATTATCATACGAAGTGTGGATATTCCTTTGTTCTCGTGTGGTTAAGGTAAATGCTTCTTTTTCTCCCACTAGGATAACTCCTTTGAGTCTGATGATGATTTCCTGGACTGTTCCTCTTCATTTTGCCACAGATAACCTCAACCCCAAAATGTCTCTGAAACTGTTTTTAATTAAGAGAGGGGAAAGCAATGTGTGGACGTGTGCAAGTCCACACAACGCCATTGTAGCCTGCATTATGTGGACTTCTTTTGTGCGGAGGTCCACACTACGTATGACACGCCTGTACAGGTTGAAAGCTCTGTGTGCGAGCATAGTGGCACTAATGAAAAAGCCCCCTTTTTCCAACTCAAGTGTCAATGTATCAGCAACGCAACGTGTGGTAACTAGAAAAAAAAACAAGCTGCCAATCCCTATTTTTTTTGCGACCCAGGCGCCTTGTGATACTCAGCCACTGATAATTGAGATACATTCCCCCACAGATAAGCTCGGCTGACTCTGGTTCGCACTCAAACTAATATCAGGGCATCTTAGAGAGAGGAATGCATTCCATTTTTTCTTCTTGAGCCCAATTTGAACAAACGTTTCACTAAATATCGCCACATCGACGTCCCTACTGCCACAAAGGCTCCCCACCCCTTGGTTTTCCCACATTTTAACCTAACTACTCTGAGACTGCAATAAGTCAGATGGGCTGACATGCAGGGAAGGCATGCAAAAGGATCATTTAGATTTATCCCAAATCAGCCTAACCCTCCTCGTTAGATTCATCCAACGGTCGGACTAGCCTTAACATTAACCCTAACCCTAGCCGATTCACCCCACGGTCAACCTAACCCTAGCCTAGCCCTAACCCTTTAATACACTACCTGTAAACATTCATCCCACAGCAGCCTCACCCTAACCCTACCGGTAAATTAAAACCCTTCAGATTCAATGACATAGTCATGATGATGATGATGACTTTAGATACCGGTAGTAGTGGTGGGAAATCCTAGACAAGAAGAATTTAAATTTGAATCCCAAAGAAAAAAATTTGACTAAATAAACTGATCTAATAGGGTCGTTTCACAAGAGCGTGCCTCCAAAGGTTTGCAACTCGTTGGCCAATCACAATGCCCGAAATCTGTCGACCCAATGTGCGTTTGGAAATGGTCGACAGATTTCGCGCATTGTGATTGGCCAGCGCGTTGCAAACTCTTGATGGCGCGCTATTGTGAAACGCCCATATTCATTGGTTTAGTTCGCGGCCCTCTTCAAAATGTGATTTTCACAACAGTACAGTACAACAGATGTACCTCCGTCGTCCTGTTTCAAAATAATATTGAAACTGGCCGGCTTATTATTCACTGTTACATTCGAAGCCACCCTGCAATGGTTTTTTTTCTTTTTTATCACGATGTAATATTAAGACCTACGTGGACGGCAACCTGTGCAGAGAAAAAAGACTGCTACTATTCAAAGCACTAACGTTGCAGCCTTTCCATGAAGTTGGATCTGTTTACCGTACTTAATTGTCTATGCTTCATACACGCACGCTATACGCCACCTACACGTGTAGCCCCAACT